TAGAGGTGAACTATAGCCTTTGGACAAATATGTCTATATTTGTAAAGAATAGTTAACCCCAGAATGAAAATTATCCCATAATTTTCTCACCCTCAAGTCATCCTAGTTGTATAGTACTTTCTTATTTTTATTAAGAATTTGATTTAATATTAATAGAATTGTGTTCGACTGAAAGAAGAAAGTCATATACAACTAGGATGACTTGAGGGTGAATAAATTATGGGATACTTTTCATTTTGCGGTCAACTATTACTCTAATATATTGAACATTTGGAAAACCATGGCAGCATGATCAAGAGCAAGATTCAGAATATTATACCAGATCTAATTTTTTCCAAACCCAAGTGAGCATCTATCAGCAGGTTTTATAACTCTGATTCATCAAGTACCCCTCTTGGAAGGAAAAGCACCATTGAGCAAGTTGATGCATAAGGCAATCTCTGGCATCCATCTTCTTGAGTGTAAAAGTCAATTTCAGCTTTTTTGGGAAAGCCAAGAGGAGGGACAGCATCAGCACCGGTCATGAATGTCAGAAGATCCTCAAACATCAGAGAGGTCTCTTTTTCTGTTAATCACATTATAAAACATCAATTCCCGGTTTCATAGACAAGGTTTAAGCCTAGTCCTGGACTAAATGTTTGAGCTGTTTTAATTGAAAGCAACTCAAACTTACATCTCTTAAAATATGTCAGTGTCATTGTTTTGTCTGAAGATGCACAACAGTATTTTTTTTTTCTAAAGTACATTTATTAAATCTACTTAAATGCCCTAAAGGAACAAAGGCCTAATCCTGGCTTTATCTTAAAACCAGGGGTGGGGAACGTTGATCCTGGAGGGCCATTGTCCTGCAGAGTTTAGCTCCAACCCGAAGCTAATCAAGGTCTTCAGGATTGCTAAAGTTACAGGCAGGCAGGGAGCTAAACTCTGCAGGACAATAACCATCCAGGATCAACGTTCCCCACCCCTGATCTGAATCCTGTTTATGTATCCAGGCCCAATTGAAATAACCAAGCTCTTAAACCAACATTATAAATGAAAATACATTAATTATATTACAACCTACGCTGAATGCTGTTGAGTAAACATTCCCAAGCAAAGATTGTGTCCTCTTCAATCTGTCTGTGGTTGCTGCCTTCATCACTCCAATTCACAACAAGAAGTAGGCCGCTGTCGGTAGCCTAAAAGAGGCCTAGAAATAGGGTTTCGTTCCACCATGTGGGGCACTACCCAATTTTTTTATATTTAACATCAGAAATATATAGAGATTCCTTAGGAAAAAGTTCTCCGCACACAACCTTGCAGTTTTTGAGAAAAATGATGCTAAAGGTTCCCATTTTGAAAAAAAGGGAAAACAGGGAATTTTGCACTTTCAAACCTGTTTATCATATAAAACCAAAAATGCTGAATTACCACTTGAGGTACAACATAAACCAGTTTGAAATGTGTGATATACCTGAAGTTGCTATCTAGGCATAGTAAACATGATAAGATTATCAAGAAAACTTCTACTGTAGCATTAACATCCCAATTACTTCTCATTATGTTGTTCCAATTCAAAGGTAATATTTGAGGTAAAATCTGAATAACAAATAGAATTCAGCCAAAATATAATATATATAAAAAAAAAACTTTTCAAAAGAACACATTTAATGGTGAATTGTCAATTCACATACACGAGCAGTAACTGCACTGCATGTACACTGTAAAAAATATGACATGCTATCTACTTAAAAAAAATATGGTAACAATATTACACGTATTATATTTGAGTAGATTAAGGTTTTTTTTTGTGTGTGTGAAATCTACCCAAATAAATTAAGTAAAATTTCCTAAATTAGTCTATGGCACATGATGAATTTAATATTATTAGTGGAATGTGCTTTTTTAATTTAAGTTGTCTCACAAATAAATCAAGCAGAATTTACTCGTTTGTATTAATGAAATTTACTTAATTATAACATTTACTGCCTTTTTCAGGTTAAGATAATAATGAATACATAATGCACTTTTTGTTATCAAACATGCTTTTATTCTGTATTTTTTGCACAAATAAAACAAATCTATATAAAATGTAAGACAGCAGTTTTAAGATATGAAAAATAAAAGCAAAAAAATGCTAACATTTTCCATGTCATTGAGAAAGATCATTTGTTACACAAAAACATGTGCATACAAATTTCTGTTGGAAAAGTCACATTCTTGACTAAAACTTGTGAATAACTTGTAGCAAAACATATCAAATAATTTGTACTTGCTGAAAGCTTGTATGTAGAACAATATTAAACGTTCATCAATCAATGCAGTTTTTTTTTCACCAGAACTTGGTCATAATGCATTGTCTCAATCTAAGTCATGTGTTTGTTTTTAAGTGTTAGTAATTTCGGGGAAAACTTGCAAACATCCAGTTCCAAGAAGAGCTTCTGAAAGGCCTCAAAAGTGTGCCTCAGATCTTTCGGGTAGGTGAGGTTTAGTGCATACGTGAGTCCAAGAAGAACAGCACAGGCTCTTGCCAGATTTTCCAAGCCAGCCATGACTTGCATCCCCTCCAAGATGATGCTGAAATCCTCCTGAGAATCCCTCTTGGAGATGGCAATTTTCATTATGTGCTGCAGGATATCTCCATTGTCACACTGTAAAACAAACATTAAAGAAGTATTTTTATCTCGTCTGTCTCATTATAAGTCTGTCCATAATTATAAACAGGGGTGCACATAACTTTTTCAGTGAGTTACTCAGGTGAGTACCAGGAGATGGTGTTTGGTACTCACCCCATATGTAGCGTGGTCTTAATAAGTGCAGTCCTCCTCAGTGTAGAAGCTGTCAATCACAGCTGTCAATCATGACATCACATTCCCGTTTTTATAGCATCAAATAACTAACTAAAGACCGAACTTATTTTAAAAAACGAACACTTAAATTTACATTAGCGTGAAAAAAACGACCTAAAATGACAGAAAACATCTTTGGAAAAATTTAATTTGAAGTGCAATTTGATTGTGTAGTTCATTAGACTTCATGGTGAGGATTTTGAACAACTCACTATAGCTGTGTCAGCCGGTATTTTGTCAGTCAAAAATAGTCGATCTCCGAATGCAACTTAACAGGGAGGAGAGTAAAGATGGAAAGCTCCTAAAGCTTAGTTCCATATAAATTCACGGATAATTTGTTGTTTTGTCGTAAGTGAAAAACAATATTGACCTTGTATTTGAAAAAGGATCCTCATATAAGAAACAATACTAAAATTCAGAGTCAGTTCAGTTCGCATTCGGAGATCGACTATTTTTGACTGACAAAATGCGGGTGTTACTGTTCCGGCGGACACAGCTACAGTGAGTTGTTCACTATCTTTCTTTTTAGAAAACTGTGTACACAAACAATGTTCTCAATGCTCGAATTCATGTGTAGAGCCCCTGGTGATACTTCCAGCAAAGTTTCATGTTGTGTCGAGCCTTCTTAGTGTTTTAAAAATAGCGATTTTGATGCTATCATATACGTGCCCCTAGCTCTCCCATTCAAAAGGCAATTTGACCGAAAACGAAAATACGGTCAAACTTAAAAGTGGCGTTTCCATTCTAATTATGCTTTTAAATGAAAGTTTGCCTCGGGTAGATTAACAAAAAGACCCTAGGTTGCATTTTGGCGACAGTTACCCTTTAAGTACGCAAAGGCGCGTAATAACACAAGTGGCATTACGCATTTCTGATTTATGTCGCGCATGCGTACCTGCGTACCAGTTATGTGCACCCCTGATTATAAACTTGATTTGTGTACGGTTGTAAAAATTTCTTATAACAGCTTAAAATGCTAAGACAACTACAAGTAAACCATTATAGTTTATTTTCTTTGTAATCACTGAAGCATAAAAATATTATGTTTCAGTGGACCACAAAGACTGTCACAATAACATAAGTACAGTTTCACCAATGACAGAGGGTGTATTAAGGAAGAAAAAATACAATAAATTTAAAATTACATTTGGTGACACTATTGTAGGGGGGGGAATTAAATTTCGATGGTCCACTATTGACATTCTACTAACTGTATAGTAACTACATGTCAACTAACTCAGAGTATTAGTAGACTGCTAGGTTAGGGTTAATAGAGTAAGTTAACATGTAGTTGCAGTTACTTATAGTCAGTAGAATGTCTAAAGTGGACCATCAAAATAAAGTGTTACCTTTTTTCATATAGTGGCTGCGAAAAATCTATTTTGTGTTAAATATTTTCACATTAGCTTTATATAATTTAATTAGAAAAAAAGATTATTGTTTAAGTTGCATTTCTATTTTTATAAATAAAAACAATGTACAAATACATTTCTCAAAACACCATACTCTTGGATGAGGTCATCCTCTTTTTCACCCAGATAACAGATCAAACAACGGAGGACAACGTCTCTCATCATGTCGATGTTTTTATCGGGATTCTGATCGGGAAGTTTGTAAATTAGCATCACCCAAAAATAATGAACAAATATTGATATGTTATGAAAGTAACTTACCTGCAGTATGGGATCAATAGCTAGCTCCGTAGTGTCCGACGTTTTGAGCCATTCCTTCGCACATTGCTTGATTTGTTCCCATCGAACTTCAGTAAAGGGCTGCGGACTTTTCCCAGCATCTTTTCCGACATGATCGAATACACTTTACGGGTGTTAATTGAGCTTAATCCCCGTTATCAGATGAAGATGCGCTGCTTACGTCCTCCTCCATGTTTACATGTGCGTAGTGATATTAACTTGATTTTGGCTGTGACCTACTTACATTTTCGATGCTGATTGGTTGAAAATCTAGCTAAACAGTTTTATATGTCTCAATACGCAGTCAATATAGTGCGCCAATAAATTACACTTTTCTCATTAACTGCAGGATAATGCGTGGAGAACTTTTTGCTTGGATACCTTTTATTAACGTTGAGCATATTGAGCAAAAGAAAATGTAGTGGCCCGTTCGTCGGAACGAAACTGAACGATACAGCTCACGTACAGCGGCCTAAAGGTCTTTGAACTCACTTCTCGTCAGTGGCTTCTGAGTGTTAGTGAACAGAGGCTTGAATGCCATCCAGTTGTTTTCCACTGTCTGCCAAATTGATCCACATGAATTCATTCCTGCCTTAAACTGTGAAACCATGCTAGCAGGCCTGGGGTAACAAACAGATAACAATGTTTATTTACGTTTAACTGCACTGTTATAAAATTGTTTTAGGTTTGATTACTAAATTGCAGTTTGATATTGACTTAAGATATGTTGGCTTCTTTTACCTAAGATAAATAAAGTGTTTAATGACCAGGCTGTAAACTCTGGGCATTTCAGGAAGGCCAGCATTGTAGATCGAGGGTACACCACATTCTGCAATCCAGTCTCCAAGAGAGGCCTTCAGTGAAATTAGGTCTCCCACACTTTTGCACTGCTTGATCTAAAAAGACCAGTTTTAGACAATATTAGATTACCATTTAATTTTTCATCAGGATAAACATATAGGTGATAATAGGCTACCTGTTGCAACTTTAACTGCACTTCATCATCTGGCAAGTCATGAAAATCAAACCTATCCAACTGCCCTTCCTGTCCACACATCAACAAATACAAAGCCGGATGAAGGGCTTTAATGCCTGGGCCTCCATGAATCAGTGACCAAGCAATGAGTTTCCCACACGTGTAAAACCGGTTCTGTTCTAAGGCTGACTGGTTGTAGGCAAAAAAAAAACCTGGCCTTGCTTTCCTTCAAAAATTCCAAGTGCTGACTGTGCCTCGATCATTAAGAGCCTGATGGAAGGAAAATTATATTGGTTGTAACATTATATACATTTTCAACTCAAAGTAGTCTATTACTAGTTGTTTCAGTTTATTACTTCAAATAAAGGTAGAATTAGTTTAAATGTATAAACAAAGAAAAATATTTTGTGGATGAACTGTAGCACACAGAATAAGTACATTTCTTTTAGTTTGAGCATTTCTGAATATTAGAAAGGGAATTCAATATTTCTGGATCTTTGAGATATAAGTTAATTGTACTATTAAAATGTACTGTAACTTTCAGAACAGAAAACTTCCCCCCAAGCTGATTATCCCTAGTATCATACCTCACAATATCAAGTCTGACTTGTACCCATGAGTTTAGCCCTTAATATTTTGTTTCAAAGATTATTCACACCAGGAAAGTCCGATAGTTCACTTGCTTTGGTCCGGACCAAATAATTTTTTTTTTTTTTTTTTGGTATGGTTCGCTTTCACACTGCTCTTTTTGCAAGTGAACCAAATTTTGTAAACAAAACCACACGTGTGCTAAGGTCGTCCATTCATTGGACAGGGATTCTCAAGTAGGGAAATCAGGAAGTGCAAAAAAGGCTCAGCATGGAGATATTTCGTACTGCAATATTGGTTATTTTACTAATTTTGTGTTATTCTGTACAAACGCAATATGAAGAAACTGCGCAGAAGACGGATAAAGTATAAAGTTTTGAAAGAGAGGGGCTATGTTCACACATTCAAATAATGAGATTCTTATTGTATATACTGCTAACAAGTGCTGTCAATGTTAACGCTTGCGATTAAGTTTGTCCAGTTTAACGCAGCGTCATCCTTGTATTGTAACTATCGTTACATTATATGAACTGCTAAAGCTTTTTTTGCATCTATGCGCGATTAGACTAAAGAGAACGCTCTGTATGTGAATGTCCTGATGCACACACTCATTAATTCATTCCATTCCAATGACGCACACACGACGCGCAGAAAGACGCGCAACAGTATCGTGTGGCCAGACAGCGCGCCGGAATGGAATTCTCTTTCGCACTTGAACAACAATAACACAAACCATTATGCCAAAATCTCCGACTACGGAAGCCTGTTCACTCAAAGGCGCAGTGCTTTCTTGCAATTGGGCCGGTTCATGTTCACACCGTAAACGAACCGTACCAGAGTTCGTTTGGAACCGTACCGAGACCACCTCTTCAGCTGGGTCTCGGTTCGGTTGTTTGGTCTGCCCCCGAGTTCGATTGCTGTATTCACACCTGCTCAAAAGGTCCGCACCAAGGGGGGAAACGAACTAGAGTTCGATTCAATCGAACCAAACAAGGCAGGTGTGAATACACCCTCAGTTTTTCAAGATCCAACATTTGTACCCCCAGTCTAGCAGTACAAGTGTTTATACCAACCTAAAGAACTCTCTTTGTGGCCCACCATGATCTTCAGCAGACTCTCCAACAAACTCAATTCGTGAGTTCTGTTCCAAGCAAACTAGGACTTTGACAGAGCTTGACAGGCACTGGGAAGAATTTTTGACCGTCTTGCAACAACAATGGCACAATTTTGATGGTCAAGGTGGTCTTTCTGGAATGATCTCAGAATGTCAGCCAAATCTGCTTCTTCCTAAATAAAGGTTGAGAAATTTAACAGAATATTATTATTAGCTATACATTTCATGCAAAGTGTTTGGGCCCAGTTCCCCGATAACGCTCACTCTTAGCGCGCTAAGAAGACTCAAAAGATATATCTTACCAAAGTTGTTTAAGTTCCTAAGTGTGTTCCCCGAAGTGTCCCTTAGGAAGCTTCTTAACACGCTGCGTCTTACGTTCGACGTTACAAAGGCGCTGTCCCACGTGAATGTCCTGAATCAGCTGGCATCGATTGCTCAGGAATCGATTTTCCACTTCGCGCGAAGGTGTATTACGGCGTTAAGAAAGACAACACGTTATATGCAAATGAAACATTCCTCAAATTATTCCAGTAATATTTATTTTAACATAGTTTAAGTTATCAGTAAAATATATTAATTAAAATATCAAATTGTGATATGTCAAAATGTTTGAGGTGACCGATCAAAGCAGGATTTATGTTCACAGAAGCGCGAGCCGCGCGCGAATCCCAACGCGACGCTTCACGAGATAAGATGCAAGTGGCAAAACTAAACAGCTGTTTTACGATAGAAGTTTTAAACGACCGACATAAATAATCAGTTTGCAAAGACTGTATCAATCAAAGCTCAGCTTCGGGAAGGGGATATTTACAGGTAAAGATAAAGAGACTGAGAGAAGAAGAACGAGAGAAGGAGATGGAGATGAGAGAGGAGAGCAGGTAAAGCAATACTGTGCCCAGAATGAGAATAACTTTATTGCAGTGGATTCCCATTTAACACAGATATACATAGCCTAAGTTCTTTGACAATGACAGTGGAAAAATAATATGCCCCCGAGCAAGATCACTTTTGGGACCTCTGTATTTATAAAACCCTGTGTACGGCTTTTGCACTGAATAGAAAATTATATTTTTGAAAAATACAATGAATTACAAGGCTGTACAGAAGAGTGCACAATTGCAGACTTATATACTGAGGTTTTCATTACATTATTTTAATATAGACAGTCGGGAACTAAAGTGGGCCGGTCTAAGGCATGAAACTTCAGGGCTGAAAATGAGTCCCACTCCGGGCCTGAAACCTCTCACTCAAAGAGCAAACCTACACACCAAATCTCCAAAACCATAAGCTATTTCTCAGCCTTTGACTCAGTTTTCAATTGCATAAAACACTTTTTCAAAACACTACATACAATTCTCTAACCAATCGAAATGGTACACTTATTCACCAGGTCACACACACACTCCTCATATGTGCAAACACTAATTGCTTTACTGATCACTAACCAATCACTGCTTTACTGTAGTATAAGCCTATAATAGGTCAAAGGTCAGATTACCTGTTTGAACAATGGATGCCAACACAGAGACCCCCCACACTCAATTGTGTTCTTTACTGTATTCTAAAGAATATACTTTTGGTTTACATATGTTTATGGTTTTGTTGTATGCTACTGTATACAACAGTAATGTTTGGCCTAATAAATATCTTCTGTTTCTACATTGCATTGGTGATTACAGTGTACTTGTTACCCCTCTCAGAAGATTACTTTCACTGTAGAACATTGTATTGAAATGTAGATATAAGTGTAAGAATGACCAAAGAGCTTTAGATTTAGAAAAACAATGTTTACAAGGTATATCCAAAAATGCACTATTATGAAATAAATGTTTGTCATTTGATGCAAATGTTTCATTCTTACATGTGTTTATGACATTTTTGAAGGAGATGTGAGGCATTTTGCATTTTGTGTGTGAAGTTTTGGGAATTGTGTGTAGAGTTTTGAAAAAATGTGACATAGTTGGTCAGTTACTAGACACCACCATGCTTACCCATTTATAGATCTTAGCCATTTAGAGCCAAATTGTTTGCCAGATTTTAATTACTATCAAAAGTGATTGCCAATTTAAACTCTTTAATGACATTACGAAATAGCCTCGGCTAATTACCACCATATTAGTTCTGATACCAAATAAAGTCAACTTCATAAATAGGCCTGCCATTGCGAACCTATTTTATTATTAGTCTTAAAATGTCCATAAAATATAAAATCATTGTTGAGACACAACATCGTCAACATACCATAGTTTGACTTTTACTGCGCTGCGCTGATTTCTAAAGACTGCTGCACAGTGGCGGCGACTAGCGTCTTGAGCTCAAACAACGCTAAGAGAGAGCTTACGAATGGTCCAGACCAACCTTACGAAAGTGTGACTTACAGAAGATATACTTAGCGTACGAACGTGTCGGGAATCGTGCCATAAGGTTAAGAGAGAGGTTAAGGTATAGGTTAAGAACTACTTAGCGATAAGAAAGTTTTGGGGAACCGGGCCCTGACCGTTATCAGTTTGTAGCAGTAAATGAAGAGATGTCCTATCGATCACAAGTTCAGTATGGCGTACCACAAGGCTCAGTACTAGGACCGTTGCTGTTCACTCTGTACATGCTACCCTTAGGAGATATCATTAGGAAACATGGAGTTAGCTTTCACTGTTATGCCGATGATACTCAGCTGTATATTTCTTCAAAACCTAATGAAACTTACCAATTCACAAAATTAACGGAATGCATAGCTGATATAAAAAATTGGATGACTAGTAATTTCCTACTACTAAATTCTGAAAAGACAGAGATTCTAATTATTGGACAAAAAACTTGCACATGTAATAACCTAGAATACTGTCTAACACTTGATGGCTGCTCTGTTAAGTCTTCGTCTAGGAACCTGGGTGTGCTCTTTGATACCAACCTTTCTTTTGAAAGCCGCGTGTCTAGTATCTGTAAAACTGCATTTTTCCATCTTAAAAATATATCTTAAATACGCCATATGCTCTCATTGGGAAATGCGGAACAATTAGTTCATGCGTTCATGACCTCAAGGCTAGATTATTGTAATGCTCTACTGGGTGGTTGCCCTGCACGCTTAATAAACAAACTACAGCTGGTCCAAAACGCAGCAGCTCGAGTTCTTACCAGAACCAGGAAATATGACAATATTAGCCCGGTTCTGTCAACACTGCATTGGCTGCCTATTAAACATCGTATACATTTTAAAATATTGTTGATTACTTACAAAGCACTAAATGGTTTAGCTCCGCAGTACTTGAGCGAGCTCTTAACGCATTATAGTCCTTCACGTTTATTGCGATCTCAAAATTCCAGCCAGTTGATAATACCTAGAATATCAAAATCGACTGCTGGCGGTAGATCCTTTTCCTATTTAGCAGGTTTTCCCGCAGCCTGCCGGATCCAGGCCATATCCAGATCTGACGAAGGAGATTCGCCTGGACCCGATGACAATGCAGTGCTGAAGTGTCAACTATCCTCTCCCTACAGATAAAGCGTTGTGAATTTCGGTTTGCGTACCCCGAAGTGATAAAATAAAACAAAATTCTGTATCAAAATTTATAGGCAAGACAAGTAGTTTGTTTAGGCATGGGTTGTATGGAATTACAAACCTGCGCACATATTTTCAAAAGGACATAACTATAGAATCAATTCTGAATGTGCATGTGAACGCCGTCAGCGTTAATCACAGGTTCGCGTTTAAAGTCTGATCATTTCAACGGAGGTGAATCAATCAAAATTAACTTTAGCTAGAAATAACATTATTCAAGAACCGCTATAAAACCAAAACAATCTCTGTTACCTTAAATTATATGTTTATCTCTGTAAAGCTGCTTTGAAACAATCCATTGTTAAAAGCGCTATACAAATGAAGATGACTTGACTTGACTAGTATGAATTGCAGCTGTACACACCCAGGTATCGGATCAGTACTCGGTATCGGCCGATACCCTGAGTCCAGGTATCGGGAAGGGAAAAAGGGTATCGGAACATCTCTACTATCAATATGGGCCAACTTTTCTAAAGAATGCTTTCAGCACCTTGTTGAATCAATGCCACGTAGAATTAAGGCAGTACTGAAGGCGAAAGGGTGTCAAACACAGTATTAGTATGGTGTTCCTAATAATCCTTTAGGTGAGTGTATTTGAGTTTGTTTTGTCGAACAAATGCTGAAGAGTAGACCTTGTGGTTAGGTTGTGGGTGGCTATAAATAAGTGTAGCCCTCTTTTAGTCTTGGGGTAATAGGCAAAACAGTAACACATTTTGGAGAGAGAGAGCACAGGAATTTTTTTGTCTCCAGCCCCAGTAGCACACATCCAGAACGAATAAGCTTAAATTGGTGTTTTATTGAATCAAAAGAAAAATATAAAAGGAAACATAAGCTTCAGGAGGGGGACAAAGGCCAACAAAATAAACAAAAAGGTGTCTAACTTAGCTTTAACCATAATTTACCTATACATAAAACAAAAAGAAAATAAATGACAAATGAACTTCCCTATCTCCCTGACTACACACAACCAGGAGAAAGGCAGTTTCAAACAAAAATGGCACCCACCTCCCTACAAGTTTCCTTAAAAGAAACTCTTAAATTCTGAACAAAGGTGTTCAACTAAATTCACAATTGCACCAATGATTAGCACTTGTCAGCAATTCCTGAGTGCATTCAATAATACAATTAAATAATAAAAGTTTGCAATTTTATATATATCCTTACAAAGGTATGATCTGACCAGAGAGCAGTTGACCCAGCTGAGAGAGACAGGAATGTCATGGACAGCTATTTCTACGACGACGTCTTCAGTATGGCGTTGAGACTAATTTTAGCACTATTTCAGACATTGACCTCGATGCACTGATTCGTTCGATTATCAGTCAAACACATAATGCTGGAGTCACACTTGTCCTCGGCAAGTAGGCTGCATATACATGTTAATGATATCTCATCATGTGTCATTTTGATGTCATGTGTGCTTATACTGATGATGCTGACATTGTTCAATTGCATTGTAGGAAGTCTGAGAAGTAGAGGACTCTCTATTCAAAGAAGGCTTGTCCGGGAGCGACTGGCAGTAGTTGACCCTGTTGGAACCATGATCCGTACAAGACATGCAATTAGGAGGAGAGTATACAATGTTAGAGGACCAAATCATCTATGGTATCCATTTCAATGGTATTGGTATGTATCACTCATATTATGCAGACAAAATACACATCAATTTTTACAAAACTTTTTTTTAATTTTTTGTAGGCACATTGATTCGAACCACAAATTAATTGCATGGAGATTTGTGTTCCATGGGTGCATTGATGGTTATAGCCGGACTGTTATTTACCTTGAGTGCTGTAGCAACAATGAGTTTTGCTTTGGGGAAATTATTAACTCAAATGGGGAATATTATTCATTAGATAATGAATATGTAATCGCATACATAAATTAAATTATCCCAAATAGGGAATAGACTAAACCTCACAATATATGAAAAAATTAACACGATTGCTCGTAGTAATTATTAATATCAAGGTCGGTAACATCAGATTAATTATCAGGGTAAATTTACATGTGTTTCCAATTTAGTTATCCGTCAAGCTGTCCGTCCAGCGGACTGGAGCCGAAAACTTCCTTATATCACAATATTACCTGCCTGTAAACAGAGTGAATACTTTCCTGTGGCCACAAGGAAATATTTTCTCGTGTACGGCACTTTCGATATTCTAAGTCAAACAGGGTAGAGCTTGGCAACTTTTAGATCTTTGACATCTACAGAGGCTTCAAAGTATGGGACAATGAGACAGATTCAATTCAAAAGGTTATGAATTTAATAACACAACTAATGATTACACAAACTACTTTAATCACGCAGGAGTAAATATGCATATCAAAACAAACAGTTAACAAAAGATTGCAATACGACGTATTTGGAGAGAGAAAGTTAGAGTGTGAGAGAGTGAGAGAGAGAACAGTTCAAAACAGTTCACAATAGTTCAACACGAGACCCCAAAGGTTTCTAAATTAATCTGAACAACCTAAGGCAGCACTTAATTGAGATTTGTACGTTACTTGCTTTAATGGCCCTGTCTTGTGCGGCTGGTTTGAAAAGAAGCGTGAGCTCGATGTCCGAGGGTTCTTCCGGTCGGAGGTAGATGTTGCGATTGCTTCAGCTGCGGCCCGTACGAGAAACGATAAATCTTAAACTCGTTTCGTTCGCGAATACACTGAACGAAGGAAAACTATCAAACTGAGGTAGCTCAAATAAAAGAAAACTTAGATTAAAACAAAGTAGGAAAACGACGACGAAGAATAAGCAGAACTCCGACGGGAGTTCGCAGGAAATTTGGAATCTCTCTCTGGCTGAGAAAACTGCGCAGAAGAGAATGTGGCGGGGTGTTTTGAAGGAGCTCGAGACACACCTTTCTTACGTGTCTGATCCAATCGTTTGGGAGAAGGCGTGTCGGCAAACCTTGTGGTTCGCGAAGTACACGCCTTCCGGGTCATGTGCCTAGCAGATAAAAATTTAGTAACAATACACTTCTAAACTAGGATTAATAAAAGTATGCCTCATGTTGCACTTTGGGTCAGGAATTTGATATCAATGCAATTTTCTGATCACAACGATATCGCGCACGATAGAGTTGTACGTTAGTAAGATTAAGATACATGATTTTTCGTGATTAGACGCATATCAAATTGATTACATATCATAAAAGCTTACAGTAATACCAGTTTTGTCACAAGGGAATCATGAAACACAACCAGACAACATTTTATACATTTGAAACGTTACTTTTAACCACACGTGGTCGTGAATGATTGTCTCTTTGTGTGTGTAAGTGTATTGAGAGTTCATTGAACGGTGGTGGCGGGGGTGAACTCGGGACCAGTCCCGTGTGAGCTCTTCCGAATTTGATGAGTTTAACATCTGTTACAATGGCCAGTTGTCTAATTAGACAATCCTCAGCTCTGTGTGTGTATGAGGTATCCCCACGGGATCTTCAGCTTACTGGTCGATGACTCACATGTGCAATAGTAGTTCTTTGTTTACTTATCAGAGAAAAACGCCTCGTGGCACATCAGTATCGGTAATTCAATTAAGTCCAAGCACCATTCGCTTCGTGTGGTAGTTCATGGAAAGAGAGAAGCTTTGTGGGTGACTCAGTAATCTAATCAACAGTCACAGGACCCCTACTCTGTCACAGTCTCTGAATTACAAGAATGCAAAACCAGCAGTTTAGGAAAATGGCAGACTTGACTATCTGATTATTGCTACAGTGCTGTACAAACAACAGAGCATCTACAGTAATAACCTTTTTTCAGCAGGGTGTTGCAAGATTTGGTTTGCCTTACAGAGTCAGGGGAGACAGAGGTGGTGAGAACATTGAAGTTGTCAGGTACATGATAGATAATCGAGGTAGTGAAAAAGGGAGTTTTATAGTGGGCCGAAGTGTTCATAATCAGAGAATTGAACGCCTTTGGGGTGATGTAAATAGGGTGGTGTCAGACTTCTACAAGCAACTTTTCCAGTACATGGAGCACTCTGAAATCTTGGACTCCACAAGTGAAGTCCATTTATGGGATTTGCATTTTGTGTACCTTAGGAGGATACAGCGGTCAGCGAGAGAATTTTGCCAACAGTGGAACCACCATACTTTAAGTTCAGGCCAATCCATGACACCCCTGGCTATGTGGTATACGGGTATGTTGTTGCAGCCAAATCTGGAGCTTCTCACACAGGAAAAAAACTGATGACTTTAGTATTGACTATGATGGCCCTGTAGTTCGGGAAGATAATGAGCAAATTATAGTTCCAGAAAGTAACCTAACATAATAATAATAATTCATTACATTTATATAGCGCTTTTCTAGGCACTCAAAGCGCTTCACATGGAAGGGGGAATCTAAATGCTGACAATGTTATCCGTTTACATGCTGCATGTAACCCACTTACAGATGATGGCAACCACGGCATTTATCACTATCTTTTTGTAATTGATTTTATTTCAGTTTGCAATTACAGAATGTCTTAAATATAATTATGGAATTGTACTTGTATTTACCTTTTATAAATCCTGCAATATTATCCTAAAACGCCTAAAAAAGGCCTACCCAAACTAAATCGCATGCTGTTCTTGAACCATTTGGAGTATATGCATGCTTTTGGTCTCTTTGAACACACTGAAAAGGGACCCAAGAAAACCGCACGAGTGCACTCAACAGAAGTTAGAAGGTAGGCTACACGTCAAAACAAACACAAACTCGACATAAGCTGACAAGTACACCTCAAAACAAACACATAACTCAGTAAATACAGTCAAATATGTTGTATAATATAATAAAACTTACTTGTCGAGGGTGACGTCTCCACCATCCAAAAACATATCCTCTGCTACCAAGTCAATGGATGAAACATCGCTCTCTTTATCAGAAATGTCATCTTCCGACTCGCACTGTCACGGTGAGTACACTATTCAATAACTTCTTCAAAGTAAGAAGTGTTTTTTTCTAGTTCTATTTGCCATTTTACACGTTACCTTCTTTCACTCTTAAACTCTTTCATTGCTGTCTTTGCGCACGGGCGCATGAATCATATGGTACTTTGCGCAATAATATGCGACGTGCCGCGTACGACACATCGGATCTTTAACAACTGGAATGTATTTTTTACAGTAACCCAATGAGCCTTTCTCCCATAAACTGAACAGTTAGGCATTTTATGTTTAAGAAATATGATTAGTTTTGAGATTATTTCATCCTGTATTTAAAGCATGTTTCCTAGTCTAGTGTGTATGGCATGTACAAATAAAATGTACCTTGTTATAGTTTTATAACAACAAAAAAGTTTTATTTGACAAACCATTGCGCAGTTTATTTGACAAACCATCATAACCGTGAACACAAACTTTTTAAGATAACATCACATTTGGAATTTTAATGAAGGACAAGAACTATTAACTGATTTCAAACACTTTAATTATCTCAGGTAAAATTTTCATCCACAAATGTAAATGTATAAAAACACAGCCTATTTTTTCTGTCTTCAAGAGAGAATTTGCATTGTAATACAAGTCCCTGTTGTTCATGAAGAAGAAAACAGCAAAAACAAAACTTATTAATTTTATTGATGGCTTAAAATGAACTGAAGCCCCTTAAATGTTGTTTTATTACTTTTCTTTATCCTTTGTTGTTGTTTTTCTTTTTATTAACTTTAATTTACTTTCTTCTCTCTAAAGTTGTGTATGTTATTTTACGTGCTCTGTTTCTGTTTACGTGCTCCATTCTGACTAAACCAGATATTGTTGTAAATTTTACACCTTAATAAAAAAAAAACTATGAAAACCCAAAGCCTTGGCAATTTTGAATTGCATATATCATGTTCTTTTTGAAGTCAATGTAATTTTGATTCACAGTTGGAAGAGAAATGCTGTTGGCACATATATTTGCTTTTGGCAATAGTGACAGCATCTCATTCTCTTCAACTGTGTGGAGGAAGTGAATGCTGGGGTGGGGTCTCAATCCCAGAGGTGGCATGGTTTTTAAACCAGTTGTAAAAAAGATGTCGCTGTCCTGCAGCTCACTGGGTTCATCTGTAGAATAATCAGTGGATAACATTTTTATGTTAAAAATCTATGGTCCCCAGAACGTGTCTGTGAAATTTCAGCATTTTTCATTAAACTAATAAGCATTTTAAAGGACATCTCTTAGGACTCAAAAATGACTTTACCTTCAATTTCAATCAACAGGGTTCTCCAGAAAGATAGAACAAGGTTTTCTGTGTTCCTTTTGGAAGAACCTGGCAGATTCAGTTCAGGCTCCATCAATGAAGAGAAGCTGCAGTAAGTGAACTGTTGAGGTTGATGGCACATAACTGCGGAAAAGGAAGTTGGATTTTCCTGCATTGCCTCCAGAACCCCCAGGGTTTTCAAACCTTCTTTGAATCTGACGAGTTATAATCAAACTTGAGTACAAGCCATAGTCAAGTGATGGCACCTAATTTTAAATATGCAGTTATGTAATTAATTAAATATACACTAACATACATTACAAATTATCAAATGCATTGTAAAATATAATCGACAATATGAATACTGTCCAGGAATGCACACCTTTCAAATGCAGACTGGTTGCGACCAAGACAGTACCAGTGTGCAGTGTCTAGGGCAACCTTCCTGGCTGTTTGATGGTCCTTGATAACTGCAAAAGTCCCAGCCATAACTATGATGGACTCTATATTTGTGAAGGCATCATAATCCCCGGAAGCCAACTATAACAAGGAAGCAACAGATTATTAAGAGAATATTTAAAGGATTAATACTATTTTGAACTAAAAACTTACTCTTTGCAAGTTGATGCAAAGCATCGGATCTGTAACCTCTTCAATAGCAATGACTGTGCCCTCAGGGTTAGTTGTCAGTGCTCTGAAGAGGCTTGGTGAAATAAACTGTGGTCCTGGTCCCCCATGCACAACAGAGAGGGCAATGGCAACACCAGCAAAGAAGTAATCATCATTCTGCATTGCTGAAAAACAATTATTTAAGATTATTGAATACTGATTATCATTGATTTTAAACCAATTTCAAGACTTAATAAAATATATTGGAATGTGTCAGTGCATGTTTATTCAGTTATCCACTGCTTATTTACATCTACTGTTGAAATTCAGGAATTTGGCTTCATCAGGACCAACAAATAATGCCCCCTGCTTAAGGTTCTCCATAAGCAGAGTGAGGAACTCCCCCCTCGGTCCACAAGAATCTATTGCTCCCTCACTTGCACCAGGTCATCCATAAGTTTTACATCGATCCTCTTCGATGGGCAGAATGACTTCATGGCCATGGTGAGTCTTGCACTTTCCCACATGTGTCTTCTACTAATATTAAAATAGGAAGCTCTGCTCTCATCAATTCCCTCTGCTTATCTATGATCCCTGTAATGTGTCTGTTGAGAAATGTAAGAAGCAATACAGTATGAACACATCATTATTCAGGAAAAACAAGTAAAACAGTAGAGTAACAGAATAATGTAATTATTTTATTAAAATGATGTACTATTCATTTTAATTGATTTAAAGGTCCCTTATTGTACACCTTTCTGAAGTTTTATTTTAGGTTTTGATGTCCTTAGGAGATGGTTTTTGGTACTTATACCGCAAATATATATTTATGGTATAAGTACCAAAAACCATCTCCTGTCTACTTAATATTCATGAGCCTCTTTTCTGATTGGCTTGTTGTTTTCTGAGAGAATAGGGTCATGTATGCTGTAGCCTGCTGTTACTTGGTGATGCTCACAAGTAAGGTAAATAAAACACCTGTGATTATGGTGATAAATTATTTGTTATTAAAAGCAAAAACATTCACAAACCACTGTTAATTTAACATAAAAGCAAGCATAGGCTACTACGTGCATGGTTTGGAATGACAGAAATAACGCAAAGTGCCACTACTGAACTGTTAGAAAAAAGTGATTCTTACCTTTCTTCCGAAGAAGTGAACTTAATGTCCTCTATTTCATTTGAGAATTGTAGAAATTCGCTGTCACTATCACTTTCGAAGAGTGCTGCGTATTGCCACTCCCTTGAACAATAAGTCTGAGCCTTAGCACAACACTTTTTTTTTCTACACAGCATCAACAACATATTATAGAGAACACTTCTATAAAGTATAACTGAAAAAGTATACCAAAGTCAAAGATGTTTTGGATTTTTACCTGTTGTTGTCTATTAGATTCCTAGAACTTCCCTCATTTAGCTGAGAACCAGAGGCTTGATCTGCATCATCATTTGACATCACACCAGAGCTGGGGATCATGGCAATGGAAGATGACGCAACGGATGGATCACCATCATTTAAAAGAATTCAATTCAATTCAAATTTATTTGTATAGCGCTTTTCACAATACATATTGTTTCAAAGCGGCTTTACAGAAAGTGCATTTCAGAAATGTACATAGAAAGACACAGTTTGTTAATCATGTATTCATTTTAGGGCATAACATATCGCCGGCGTTTAGTCGTCTCTTCACAGGCGTTTAGGCGTCTCATCGCAGGTATTGGGGCATCTGAAGTCTCCGTGAGAGGCTGGATACAAACTGGAGCTGACCAACGCTATTTACCTCGGGATGCTAACAACAGAAAAGCAGATGGGAAATAATTAGCGTAGCTGCTGTTCATAATATTAATGCATTCGATCTGATTCAACAGTGGTATAAAAGGTAAGCATTATGTGAATGCTTGGCTGAAGAGATGCGTCTTTAATCTAGTTTTGAACTGGGAGAGCGAGTCTGAGCCTCGAACAATATCAGGAAGGCTATTTCAGAGTTTAGGAGCTAAATGTGAGAACGCCCTCCCTCCTTTAGTGGACTTAGATATCCTAGGAATGACCAGAAGCCTCGAATTTAGTGATCTTAAAGAACGCGATGGATTGTAGGGCGATAGAAGGTCCATTAAATACACAGGAGCTAAACCATTTAGGGCTTTATAGGTCAGTAGTAGTACTTTGTAATTGATACGGAACTTGATAGGTAACCAGTGTAGAGATGATAAAATTGGTGTTATATGATCATATTTTCTTGACCTAGTAATAACTCTACCAGCTGCATTTTGCACTAACTGTAGCTTGTTAATTGCGGATGCAGGACAACCAGCTAATAAAGCATGACTGCATCTGACTGCTCCTCACAAATATAAATTATGACTGTAGTGGCCGTTTAGCAACAAAACAAAAGAAACTTAAATCAAACCATAAAAAACGACAACTTCTAACACCCTGGGCAGGTGATGTACGCAGGCAAGAAAATAAAATCACATTCCAGGCTGGATTCAGGGTTTGTGGCTGGTTTATTTCTTCAACTGAGCAAACAATACAACATCTCTCGCGCTGGTAAAAAACCATATGCCCATCACCCAGGTGCTACAGGCCACCTCCTACTTCCTACCTATATGTACCTTTACCTGTGCCCACTACTGCCCTCAGGTGTCCAAATCAAACATTGTAGTTATTAACCCTTGTGCTGCATTAGGGACATTTTTGGTCTTTTGCAGTTTAATTTCTTTGACCATTTTGGCTGTTTTAATGCAAATGGTATGTAATTTGGCAAAATTGTGACTTTTTAGATAAATGTAAAAAAAATTATCCCATTTTGCAAAATATGTATAACACACTCTGTGTAGAACAAATAGTAACACTCAGCACCATAATGGACAAAAATGTCCCATTGAAACCCATTAAAACGTCGTTTAAAGCCGGGGCCATCATTAATACACGAATCATGATTTATGTTGAAACATCCTTTCATTTTGAAGCAAAAGCATTATATTTGCATTATATAGTGTATTCCACCAGATGACGTCACTACATAGGTATTCCCTATGGGTGGAAATGCATGTTATTTTCCTGGTTTCCACTAGGGGCACTATTGACTGTTATGAAGCATTTTAATGGCTCAATGATCTGAAATTGTTTCTGAGTATGTGTGGATGTCTGAGAGCAATGTGTGTCTGCGTTGAAAAAAGTGTGTGTGTGTGTAGGGCCTAAATATAATAGGCGAGTGACAAATCACAATATCCTGAAGGTCATATTTTACCCTTTCTGTCTACTCTCTCTCTCTCTCTCTCTCTCTCTCTCTCTCTCTCTCTCTGTGTGTGTGTGTGTGTGGTGTATGATGTGTGTGTAGGCGTGTGTGTGAGCGTGTGTGTGTGTGTGTGTGTGTGTGCATTTAGCAAGAGAAAGCGCTTCTCACTGCATTGTTTTCTTTCGGTTTGATTCATGCGTATTTTACGCACAGAGATGAACCTTTGACACAGCTTCGTTTTTTTTTAGCAGTCTATGTTTCAAAATTAATTGATAATTTCTCACATACGTAGAGGCACAAACACAGCCATGCAGTCAGTCCTTAGACAATAATAACACCTTTCATCTTGCGGCAACACAAAGATGTAGCTGCGAGGAATCCAAAACAAAGTCTGCCTTTGTTTTGGATTAGACTAGTTGAGAAATCATACAAGTGCGGTTGATGCAAAAGTTATAAAGCTGTGCACATCTTTGGTGCGGCAATTACAAACTGAGCAGAAAATTCAGAGGAAAGTGGGTCTGCAGACACCCATGACAAGAGGAGGAGGGGGTGCAGTTTCTGCCCTAACAAAAAAAGAAAAATCTCCACCACCTCCTCAAAATGTGGCATTTACATCTGTAAGGAGCATGCATTGCAATTCTGCAGCTCCTGCAAATGAGCTGAAGAATGATTTTGTTTTGAAGTTTTGATATGTTTTAATAATAATAATAATAATAATAATTCATTACATTTTATATAGAGCTTTTCTCGGCACTCAAAGCGCTTTACATAGATGGGGGAATCTCCTCAACCACCACCAATGTGCAGCTCCACCTGGATGATGCGACGGCAGCCATACTGCAAATTTGGCCAGGATGCCGGGGTTACACCCCTACTCCGAAAGACATCCTGGGATTTTTTGTGACCACAGAGAGTCAGGACCTCGGTTTAACGTCTCATCCGAAGGACAGTGCTCTTTGACAGTATAGTGTCCCACTATGTTAGGACCCACACAGAGCACAAGGAGAGCACCCCCTGCTGGCCTCACTAATTTTATATTTATAGAATTAAATTGTTTATAGAAAAAATAAAAATTCATGTTCATGGTGATCTTGTAGTTTTGCTTTCTTTCTATAGCAAATCTTGATGTGTAGTGAGACAGGCACAGGTTATAATCACCTAGTAGAAATCAGGAAAATGTTTGCAGTACTACAGATGTTTGCAGTATGTCAATTATATGACAAATGGTACCAACTGGTGGAAAACAGTAAAAAGTAAATATTTTACCCCAAGGCTTGGTAATGACAGGGTATTTGAATAGAAATTATGATTTTATGATATTATGACAGTGGGTTCAAAAATGGATATTTGAATGGGTTCAAATAGGACCAAATTTGTCCTTAACGCGCTATGTGTGATTTTTTTCAAAAATCTTACATATCACAAAAAAATAAAAATGCACCAAAAATAATGTTGCTGCTAATCTTTGACATATTCAAGACTATGATAATCCAAAGTCAAGGTTTTCACTTTGCATTTAGTATATGGAAAATAATTACATTTTTGTGTTTTTTCCTCTTATACAAATTGATGGTATCGCCACCAAAACTGGTATTTAAAGGGTTAAAATCCTGAAATTAAATAAATATTTGGTAGTTATGATGAGGACTGATGCTGGTTAAAAGATTTAATTTAGTAAAAGTGGAAAATAATAATAATATATAATATTTTAGGCAATGTTTAATACGTGGCCATTTTTGTCCATTAACGCGCTAAGTGGGATTTTTTTTTAAAATCTGACATAAAACAAAATCTTTAAATGCACCAGAAATAATGTTGTCGCTAATCTTTGACATATTTAAGACTGTGATAATCCAAAGCTAAAGTTTTCTCTTTGCATTTAGTATATGGAAAATAATTACATTTTTGTGTTTTTTCCTCTTATACAAATTGATGGTATCGCCACCAAAACTGGTATTTAAAGGGTTAAAATCCTGAAATTAAATAAATATTTGGTAGTTATGATGAGGACTGATGCTGGTTAAAAGATTTAACTCAGTAAAAGTGGAAAATAATAATAATATATAATATTTTAGGGAATGTTTAATATGTGGCCATTTTTGTCCCTTAACGCGCTAAGAGGGATTTTTTTTTTAAATCTGACATAACACAAAATCTTTAAATGCACCAGAAATAATGTTGCCGCTAATCTTTGACATATTCAAGACTGTGATAATCCAAAGCTAAAGTTTTCTCTTTGCATTTAGTGTATGGAAAATAATTACATTTTTGTGTTTTTTCCTCTTATACAAATTGATGGTATCGCCACCAAAACTGGTATTTAAAGGGTTAAAATCCTGAAATTAAATAAATATTTGGTAGTTATGATGAGGACTGATGCTGGTTAAAAGATTTAACTTGGTAAAAGTGGAAAATAATA